TCGAACTTCATGCAAGCAAAGAAGCAATAACAGCTGTTGAAAGGAATTTCCTGAAAAGAGGAGAGGAGAAAGTATCAATGGCAAAAAAATTGTCATTTGAGGATGAATGAAAACACTTTTTTTTGCTATTCTTTCTTTTATGTTCAGTTTTTGTTTCCCGTTTCAAGCTTTAAACTTCCTGAAAAGTTCGCCAAATGGCTACTCAAGTTTCATTCCATCATTCTGAATCACTGTAAAAAAAGTGAAGAAAAAAATGTTCAAAGAAATATATTTTTTTTTGCAGTAAAAATATTTTATTGTTGTCTTCTTTACGAATTGTTTATTTAAAGCTGAAAGAAGGCAAAAAAAAGGCTGTTGCAACGTCTCTGAAATGTTGAGAGGGCAAAGTTGAAGGGAGTGGGAAAAAAAAACATATACAGATTACAGTTGTTGGACAACCAGTTGATGAATCAACTGCAAAGAAAAAAATTAAAATCAAAGCACAGTGCACGAACTGTTTATTATTTTTCGCATTCTTCTAAAAAAAAAAAATTAGACAAATAAAAATAGGACTTCTTTTTTTTTCTACCTTCGTTTTGCTTCTACTTTTTTTCGCAATAAAATTTTATTGGTTAAAAACAAAAGAAGAAAAATAAAAGCAACGGAACAAAATAAGACAGAAGAGAGATTGCATTAACAATTTCATTAATTGTAATTTGGGTTTTTTTTAGCAAAAATAGTGATTTTGAAGAAACTGATCGACAACAACGACATAATTCACGAATTGTCGATATTGCATTCAATCCAACTGCAGATCTAATTGCAACTTGCTCTAATGAAGCCAATGTTTATATTACATCCTACAAAGCTGGAACAGCAAAAATTGGTATTATTTAGCACCCTAATTTTCTCTTTTATTCTGATTCAATTTTTTTTTCAGCAGTTTTTGAATATCAGCTCGGTTCTGTTAGCTGACGGGTGAAGCTATTCGAACTCTGAAATAACAGTGATTGCGAAATAGCTTAAATAGCTTAAGTTTGTAGGGTCCGGAAGTATGAAGATAAAAATGAATGATGCGGTACGTGTTGTACGATTTGTTGAAGATCATTTTACACATTCCAACTTGTTGGTTTCTGGTGTTGGACGTCGTATATGTATTACCGATTGTTCATCTGGAACAACGTTCAAAGATTTTGTTGGACACACAGGTGTTCCATTGCCGTTAAATTGATTCTGTAAATGGGATATTTTTTTTTCAAAATACAATATTCAGTGGTAATTGTTGATGGTTGAAAAGTTTAGTTCAGGTACAGTAACATCGTTGTTTATGTGGGGTGGTTGTATGTTTGCAAGTTCATCAAGCGATAAAACAATTCGAGTATGGGATATGCGTGTTGCCGAATCCATTAGAATATTTGATCCGTTACCAAAGCCAGGTATAACAGGGTTGAACAAGTATATAAAAGCAGAATTTATGATTAGCATATGATTTAGGCTAGAACTAAAATCTTATAGGCTACTGTTTCAGCGTTAGGAGCAACGACGTTTCAGGTGGACAGTACCGGACGCCTTCTATTTCGTGGTGATGGTGCCGGTCTTATTCATGTGATCGATATTAGTAGCAATAAGAAGATTAATTCAAAGAAATTGCTGAATTCCCCAATTACTTATTTGCAAATTTCTCGATCGAAACGTTTTCTGCTAGCTGTTGATCAACAAACGTAATCATTTGCATGTTTCACAACTGCAGAAAAAGCAGTCATTGATCTTTGGTTTATAACACATAATTTTGGTAGATGGACAATAAGGAAAAAAAAGAGAATGAAAAAAAAATGACAAAAAGGTTAAATAGAAAAAAATATGGGTCTATTGCAGAGTTTGATATATTTTTTTTAGGATTCAACTATGCGATTATTCAGATATTTGTTGCGTTCCGGCACCATCACTGATCTCCAACGTTGAATCGAAATTTGTTGCTGCAAGGTTAGACTTTCATATAAGATTTGATGTATAACAATAATATATTAGGCTTTGAAATTTTCATGCAGAACACTGCAGTCACATTTATTTTTGATAACGGTTATCAACACTAAAACTGTGTGTGTATAATCTTTTAAGGAATTTTATGATATAGCAGCTGACTTTGATAACACCGTATTTATTTGTTTAAAACTTGTAGCAGTTTTATGTAGATGTCAACAAATTAGGAAATTTTTTTTTCAATATTTCGTGCATTTTAAAGAATTACTAAAAAAGGGCACTTAGAATGTTTTGTAAGTGGGAGGTTTTTTTTTGAGAAAGAACGCTAAAACTGAAGAAGAAAAAGCAAAAATGAGGGAAGAACGACGGGTGGGTGAACGACCTGTCGTCATCATCTGTTGATCTCTGATTTATTGTTCACCTTTTGTGGTTGTGGGTGCAAATAGTGGAAGTTAATATAAAAAATTCTTGATGATCATCTGTAATCATCATTTGCTGAAATCTAAAGGGATTAAAAACTGGGTATAAAACAATTTTGTTTGGACAGGTTTTTTTTTTAATGAAACACCAAATGAAACAGAATTGTTCTTTTAAAAATTGGTTATTTCCATCCCAGGAACAATGGGAAAATTTTTTTGTCTACTGTTCGAAAACTTTTAAGAGTGGAGGAAGTGTAACTTCATCTTATGATGTCAGTTTTTTGCACTGATGGTTTTTACATAAACTTTTGAATCCAAAAAATCTTTCTAAATTTTTAATCTAATTGATAATTAGAGTTGAGCACTGCCTGTCTCGATTTTCCACTTTTGCAACTTTTCCTCATTATCATTATCCACTCAAGCTTATATCAAACTTCAGTTGTCGTCTAACTTATTTTCATCAAAAAAGCAATCATTTTTTGTTATGTCACAAAGACGTAGGGGGTAAGCGGAAACAGTGAAAAAGGATTTCCTGCAAAACACACAGTCATATGACCTTCTTCAGTACCTTTCGTTTTTCAACAATGAGGTAATATAACGGCTACTATGGGACATAATTCACTATTTTCTTTACGATAAAGGACCGAAAGGCAAAAAGGAAACAAGGGCAACTGAACAACTAGGCAAAACTCCATTTTTTTATAGTGGCGTATAAATTTCATTAATTCCGATGTTAAAACACTGGAATTTTTTAGGCGTTTGAATGTCATAGTAGAAATTTTTTTGCTGACATTTCCCAAATACAGTCCTGACAAAGGTAGTATAAGCGGTATCCTCAAAAAACTTCTTCTACTTTTGATAATCAATGGGTTGCTTTTGCGCCTTACTTGCGTATAACGGTAAATTGCTAGTTTAGCTGCCTCTTCTGCATTTTACTAGGTTTTTAAAGAAGATTTCTGGATTGTAACGACAGCGATGGTTTGAGATAATATTTTGGCGATACGTGAAACGGCTGAAGAGTGTTGTGAGGAGTGGACTTGAATGTTTTTAAAAATATGGCATCTGTATTTTCTGTTGCTGAGCACGATGAGTACACCAGTTCTTAAATTTTTTTTGCTTCTATTCAGTCATTGAAACACATTAGCTGATAATTTTCTTTGTAAAATAGTTATTATATGCAATTGGCAATTAACTCTGTCAAAACGATTGAACTATTAAAAACATATTTTTGTTTGATGATGATTAATTGACGTCAAACATGCCAAGATTTGGTATTTTAAAGAGTTTCATGTGAACAGCGCTGTAGAATTGCGCTTCCACTCATCTGACTTACAGATCCAAGGTTTTTGTTGGTCGTTTTTATGCTAACACAGACTACTGAAAAGACACAGATATAAATTCACAAGGATATTTTGGAGGTAAGGACGTTGGCATGACAAAAAATAACTGAAATGAATGTTATGATTGGGCACCTGTGACCATATTTTTTTACACTCTCTTATCTGAAAGTCAAAAGTCATAAAAAAAGCTTTTTTCCTATATTTCTATCGCATTGTATTTTGAAGATGAAAGCTGAGAGATTAACAGCTAACAATGGATCAAATTTTTAGTAAACGTTTTTTTTTTTCTCGATGTTTAAACAATTTGATTGAACAATGCAAAAAAAGCTTTTGCTAAGAAGGCAAAATTTTCGTTAGTTTTTTTTTTTTTTTTTTT